GAAGGACATCAGAAGGTTTGCTGAGGGAAGCAATGCAACCACCCACCACTCACTAGGGAACTCCAACCGTGAAAATTCCCAGCCCCAAAGCATCGAGGGGACTCTATCTGGGCAGATTCAAGATTCCAAGCGCCGAAAAAGGCGTCGCCGTCTTCCGGTCTCCTGGTGGTCCAGCAGCACGCCGATCTCCGCCAGGTCCCCCGGCCCGAAGTGGGGCCCCTAAGGGTCGAACAAAGCCATCCATACGAATCGGTGAAGGCGGGGTACCATTTCTTCAAACGCAGGCAAACTGCCCAGCTGTTTGGGTGGGAATCGGGACCTCGTGGAATTGTGTCAGCGGGACAAACCAAACCAACCACAAAACCTGTGTAAAATGTTCAGGGTGTGTCCTTGCTCCCGGCTTGCAGCAATCTTTACACGCATGATTCTGACGATCACTCATTCAGTTTTCTTTCACGAGCCGGGTCTCACAATGGAGGGGATCCACCGTAAGAGGCCAAATCCTCCATGTTGTTCTGATGATAACTTCACCGGGGAGTGCCAGACGAAACCGCCAGAACCCGCGAAAGGGCTGGATGATTGACAAAAAACAAGGGTAAGAGTGAAAAAGGAAGCAACCCTGGAGACATTCAAGTCCACAGCCCCCCAGAGCAACCAGTGACAAGGGAAGCACCCACGACAGAGATAGGCTGCATGCATACCTGGGGCAAGTTAATTCCGCTAAACCAAAAACCAGCTCCAGACCAGGATTCGCTCCAAACAGTTGGGCATGAGGAGTCTTAGTTGGACATCATCCTCACTCCCTGAGTGGGGTCAACAAAACAACCAGACTTTGTTCCCCCTGACATTAACATTCCAAAAAACTCATCAAACCGCTACACTGGCGCTAGTCAAATGATGCACTCCTTTTTTCGTGTGAAGGTGGTTAGTGCCAAATTGTGAGGATCGGCCCCAGCTGAGGGAGGGAGGGAGGGAGTGAGTGAGTGAGTGAGTCTGCCCGCGTATTCAAGTCACGTTTCACACGTGACGGACCAAGCATGACCTGGCTGTCACGCAAAGCCAACACGAGTTCCATCAAGACGGCCGCACAGAGTTCTCCTGAGCGTTATCAGGGCAAGGGGATTGGGAGAACCACTCCGTGTTCACAAAAGCCACCTCTGGGCGTTGACTTCGCCAAGACAGGCACGCTGTACTGACGCAGGATTGCGGCCCTTGTGCTCAGACTCTTGTACTCCTTGTTCCCGCACGTGGCTTTGCGGACGACTACTGTGGAGACGCTCCAGACGCTTCATGCTTCACACGCAAAAGAGGCACCACATCTGTGACGAAGCCTTTCCTCCAATCCTTTTGGAGCCAGAAGAACTCCCACGCTTCTGCGGCTTCTCCATCGACGCGCGCAACCCAGGCGTTATCTGCCTGTTGCTGGCCCGAGCGCCTTCGCCTCTTTCCAGCCCTGCCGCCGCCTCAGCCGCTGCTGAGGGGGCAAGGATGCCCTCCATGATGGCATCCGCGCCAGGAGGTCCACGAACGTCCTCTCAGCTTCGTCTTGCTGGAAATCGTTGGGCGCGAGGCCAAAGCGTCGTCTTAAGTGGAGGGGCCCTGGCGCCAGCGTTGAGTCCGTCTTTTCTGCGCGCTTCGGGGCCCACCTGGGCCTGGTCCAGCTATGGTGGAGGCCATGGCCTTCGCCTTTGCCTCTGCCATCATGGTACCCGCAGACATCGGAGCGCACATGGCTTTAGAGGGGATAAAAGGAACAGGGATTTCAAGTCAATACAAGACTGGAATGGTCCACTTGAGCCAAAATGTTTCCCAAGTGGATCCTTACTCTGAGCTAAGTCAAGTGCACACCCACGGGTACACTTTTGCCCAAAGTCCAAAGCCCGGAAACTGGCAAAATGCAACTCACCGCAGAAGCCGAGAGATTGGATTCTGCTCCGGTCCGATTTGTCCGCCTTTCAAAAAGGCGCACCGTGAGATGCGTTGACTCCTTTCAATCAGGGAAGCTCGATTAGGAAGCCCCAGATATGTTTTGCGATCGCTCGAGCAAATCCCCCCATAGATGTCCATCCCAAGCGCGCCCAGCCCAGCCCAAATCGCCTGCAGCAGGTTGTTGAGGCAATGGACACCTCCGATCGGATTGATCGGACGTTCCCTTGCCCCCGGTTCCCGGATTTCCCCCCCAATGCAAACCTAGGTTTCATCCATTCCTGAACCAAGGTGGAGTTCGTCCCTCGACAGTGCTTGGATTGGCAAGTGGCTGCAGGAAATGTTAGGCCAGGTATGCGGTTTGCCACTTGGGGTAGAACCCACGAAAATCAGGATTCACCCTACTTCACGGGAAACCTCTAAGCGGGGTATCACCGAACGGTGACCAGCAACGTTTCTAACTCTGCCGAACACCCAAGTAGGGATTTCTGGAAAATCGCTGGGTCAAAAAGAAAACTCTCAGAAAGTGGCCGCAAAGGCCGCCGAGCTGGCGCTCGTGGTAGATGTACCTGCAGGGCTTCTCCACCATCCCCGGGTTATTTGCTTCTTAAACCGTTCCCCCTGATCTCCTCTTTAAATACAGCGAGGTTTAGAGCAACTCCCAAAAAGCAAATGTGAACATTGGGCACTGGCGCACCTGAAAAACACCAGATTGCCTGTAAGGGAGGAAAAACAGGACTTCTGCACTCACTGGTGCCAGAGGTTGCCTGGGAGGCCCGTCTGTGGCTCCCTGGTTCCCCACTATGGTTGCGCCTCGGATTCTGAAGACCCGGAAATCGGTGGCGTAGGATGGAGTTATTAGAATCTGCAAAGTTGCAAACTCCGGGCAAGAAAGTTGGAGAAAACGTGGTGTCAACAATTGCTTCCGACTGTTGCCCCGCAGCTGCCCCCCTTGGAATACATGATTCGCCCACAACGGCTGCCCTCAGAGCCCGTGATCACCATGATACAAGCATCCGAGTTTTCCCAGAAAGCCATCCCCAGAAGAAGGCACAACAGCCGGCCGCATGGGGAAAGCTTTTCAGGCCGGACTCGAGTCTGGTTGGCTCGGAAGAGTCTCCAAAACCTAAGGCAAACATTGGCAACCACTTCTGCCCGTTGCATTCTAGTTGGTGGCATGGGCAATGTTCAACCTTCAAAATACCCGGGCATCAGGACTTCCGCAACACGTTGCCAAACCTCCCAGCAAATACTGAGCTGCCTTTGGTCCCCCGAAGTCCCCCACAATGCCCCAAACCAGATCGGCACATCCTGGCGCAATGGTCAGACCCATGGGCGCCAGCAAGAAGCTCGCTGAAGAAAGTGAGCTTGTTCTACCCCCGCATCGTTGAGTTTTTTGCAACTTGCTGGGAAAGCTTCATCCAAGAACCCTGTCTAAATTGGAACAGGCAACCTTTGTGCTCATCTGTTTCAACGCAAATTCCAAGCACCTTGCACTGGTCCAGAAAGGTCGCTTCCCCTCACCCGGCTGAACTTGAAAAGACCGGACCGGAACATTCCGGGGAAGACCTGGACTTTCTATCAAACGCTATTGCCCCACGAGCTCTCCTGGCAGCTGATACACCAAGGTCCTTCCAGTGGGTATGGGTTTGCGTGACCTGTCCTGACGGACCTCTCGGTTGCTACTGTCCCCCTTATTTGACCATGTTGACTTTGTCCGCCAAAGTGGTAGCTGAAAAAGAAAGAACCCCAATTGGCCATGGGTCAAACGCCCGTACCCCCAGTGAACATCCCAATCCCCACTAAAATAGGTTCTAAAATGGGTGGTGAATTCACCTACCAACCAAAATGGATCCCACTGGTTTTGACAACCACTGCCAATTGACTTTGACAAGTAATCTGCGAGAGTTCAAAAGAAGACCCCAGTGATCTGGACATCTGACCTGGGCCAATGGCTGCAGACGCTCCCTCCGCCGAGACCCCAAGACCCCAAGACCCCAAGACCCCAAGACCCCAAGACCCCAAGACCCCAAGACCCCAAGACCCCAGGACCGAGGCATGGCCTTGGGACCTGAAGTCCCATTCCCAATAAAAAGAGATGCCCTGTAGAAAAGAACCTGCCCATGCGCCTTTCGTGTCAAGGCAAAACATCGGACCCTCCTTTAAAAAAAAAGGGGCGCTCGCTGTTCAGGCAAAGCATTCATACAGCGCCACTGCAAGGACACATACTCGTTCATCTTCTGATCAGAACTCCCGAATATTTTGTTTTGCTCATTTGCCAGCAGCGCTCTAGAGGCGCCTGTCTTCGTTTTTGTTTTGGCTCCGTCATTTCAATCAGAAAGAGCCAAAGAAGAAACATAGGTGAACCTTCTGCACTCCTGGGGGCATGCCCTTTGCTTGCACAACCACAAGAAGCAACAGCCCAACGACAGGGAAAGCACGAGCCTGGCCAAATCGTCTGCGTGACTCTGTGTGCCATACACTGGGAGCTTCTATTTTGACATGGGAAACCCAATGTTGTGAGGAGTGACGACTGCAAAAAGGGTCACTGCAAAATGTACTTGCCCTGTGGCTTTCCACCACCCCTTTTGTTGGCTGGAAACGCGGAAAATTCGGGTGCCATTGCACGGAAACTTGGTGAGTGTACCATGTCCTTCAAGCTTCGTCAAAAAGCGCATCTTGGCAGCTCAAATCCCAGCGGCCATTTTGCCGGGCGAAAGCCGCTGACCTCGCTGCCTACCTCCGCGCGGGAGGAGACCGAAGCGAAGCAAGAGACGGCAAGCAAGCAAGCAAGCAAACAAACAAACAAGTAAGCAAGCAAGAAAGAACAGAAACCCTGACAATGTCATCTCGGTCGCCTCCGCCCCTGCTCAGCAGGGACGATACAGCTCGGTCTGCTTTGAACCAGAGCCGCGATCAAGGGATTGTCTCGCAAAGCTCTGACCCGTGCCACCCACAACAGGGTGCTTGGAAAAGCATCTGCTTGTTTCATCAGATGCCTCAGCAAAAAGTTAATCGTCCTTCTGTGTCCCTCTAGAACCTGCACTTTTTGTAGCATTTCCTTGGCAAAACAGAGGCACACCACCTGTGACTGGCATTTGAGTTCAGCAAGGGAGTCCATGGTGAAGATGCGACTGCTAGATGCAGCACGACATGGAAAATCATGGGATTCTTGCACTCTTTCGGCCCAGCTCCAAGAGAGGTTCTAGCCATCGATGGCAATTTTTCTCGGACTACCCGGCATGCTTCGCCACAAATGCCCTCACTTGGCCTCAGGCTGGCCAAAGGAAGTGCAACCTACGTCATTTCACAAGGGAATCCCTACCTAAAGGCCAGTGTACGTCATAAGTGGTTAGTATGCCTGCTTGAAGTTCACTCAGGAGACTTATAACCACGGCTTTTGTGGAAGGTTATTCACCACTTAAGTACCCGATGCCCCCTTTAAACATGAGGCCCAGGATAATTATAGCAACCTGTGCTTTGCGGTCAGCAGCAAAGTGTAAGTCGCCATTGCAATGCAACTCCCACCCCATGTCTAAGAAAGGCGGAGAATGCTGCGAAAACAATCACAACACAAGTGTCATGCAAAGCGATACTTGCACACATACACTCCATCATGAGTGGCGGTAGCGACTGCAAAACACGATTCACAGCACGCCACATGAAGACCGAACAGAAGTGGGACCAAATCGAGCGCACCCAAAGCCGAACAAAACCAATCGGAGGTCGAGTCAAGCAAAACAGCAAACAAAAGCCAAGCCAAAGCCAGTGGCAAAAACACCCAAACCAGAAAGGAATCCCAAACGCAAAACGCCACTGGCAGCCACACCGACCACACCATCAACCATACTGTGGATGGACGAAATCCGTTCGCACCACAAAATGAAACCATGGTTGAAACCATTGTTTGCTTGGCATTTAGAGGGGGAATCGAAACATTCCTTTGGGTTTCTTAGGCGGTGCAATGCTTGGATGGCTCGCAACCATCCACCGCACAAGTCCAAGAAACCCGCCGACCGCGGATCTCCGCGGGTCCGTCCCGATCCGAAGGCGCCTCGGATCTGCGAGGCCTCCATGGCCTCCATGGGCGCGTCCACCACCGGCTGCTCCAATGGCCTCGCGCGGGGGGCCCCGCGCTTTCGGACCAAAAGCGGGGCTCCAAAGTGAATTCTCTCACGCAATGCAAACTTGTTTAAAACGGTCCAACCCCGCAAAGTGACTAAAGTCCATGCACTTACGGAGTGAGTTCGTGCTTCCCTTCATGGTTCAGGAGTCTCCTGTTCAAGTTTATGGCTGAGATACCATGTTCAATTTAGGGGGGAAACGCCAGAGGTCTCAAAGTTGACGAGAAGCGCCCAGTTGCCTTGGGCCCCCCCCCTGCAAAGAAAAGCCCAAATGAGTTCATGCTTAATCAAATGGCTTCAACCTGTTTGAGCAAGTGATTGAATCGCCCCACCCTGCTCAATGCTCTGTGCGATGAAGGGAAAGGTCAACAAACTGACTTTCTAGGGTTCATTTTTTCATTCTTTTCAACCATCGTTCTTTGCAAACCCGGCCGTTTTCCCTGGAGGTTTTCCAGACAGAAGGATCCCTGGAATGAATGGGGAAGGTACCCCTAGAGAGTTGTTCCCTTTGTGAGCCGTGGCAACATGAACACAACCATTGTCTAACCCTATAGCCACTATCCATAACCATGACTACCACGACCAAGGGGTATGAACGCAATCATCGCCGTGACCCAAAAAATAGTCTGGGACTCCAAAGCGATCCCAACTAGGGCTTCTTTTGGGGTTAACTCCAAATTACCCAAGATTGCTCAAGAATCGAACGCCAAACCACAGAGCTGTCTGACTTTTCATAGCCCCCATCGGCTATGGAGTCTGCGCCTTAGGCCGGGTGAAGTGACGTCCAGAAAACACGTGGGTGAAACTCAGACATCAACGAGAAATGTGGTACACCTGCGCGCGAAGCTCGGAAAACAAACGGTTGCCGGATGGTCCCAAAAAGAGAATGCGAGTGCTTCCTGCAAAATCGTGAAACTGTGTCCGGCCTCTCCACGGTACCCAGAAACGCCAAGGTCGGCACCGCCTTGAGGCCTCCGTCCGCTAAAGAGGAAGACCAGCGCCGGTCGTGGCGCAAGGTGTGGCCGGGATCCTTCCACTCCTGGTGAGAAGAGTTTTGGGATCAGGTGGGCTCCACCCAAGAGGCGTCTTCCCCTTGTGACTCTCCCTTTAAAACTCGTAGCACGGGTAAACGACACAACCAGAACCCAGATGGGTGGTTGTGTAACAACACCCCAAACAAAAAAGGCAAGCCCGCATTTTGGGGGGACCGCGTATGTTGATACATTCCACTCCATTCAGGGAGGGCAAAACAATGGCCAGACAGAAATCCACCGGATCATCTTCACATGGGCCACAGTCACAAGATGCTCGAATATGGCCCAACACCTCTCCAGAACAGCCCATCCTGCAAAATGGTTATGCGGGCCAAACGTTGCGCATTGTGTTGCTCTATTCGAAGGATTTGCTCTGCAGTACGGGTGACGTTTCATCTCCGCAACAATTGGCCTGGATGTTTAGAAACAGATGCACATTGTGCGCATGAACTCGGGAGTCTTCGGTTGCCCGTGCAATCCAGTTGGGTAAGGAGGGCGCTCTCCCTGTGCAGCTGGGCATCTTTTTGTGGAACCTCATGATGGCACCACTTCAGCTGGTGTCATGTTCGGGCAAATTGTCCAGATGATCAATTGTTCAAGCGGGACTCCGGTGACTCTCTCAATTTCTCATGTGGGCGAGCAACTTCTGCTTGGAGTTCACGCAACCCTCTCGGAATCACTGTTCACGGGTCTGACTGACTGGGAGCTCTTCCGGGAACAGCTTCAAAAGACAAAGCAAAGTCAATCTTTTGGAGAGTTTCCATGTTTTGACCAAGTCTTGCAGCGTTTATGAAGAATCGACACTGCTAGGACTTGGGGTGCTTCTGAAAATCAGTCGCACCCATCCCAGTGTCTGGCTTCCTCGCATTATCTTCCCAACGCATATTCCAGCTTGCCCAATCACCTTCTTGCTTTTTGCCCACAAGCCCCCACACCACACCGAAACCAGCGGCACCGCACGTCTCGCCTCCCGCGTCTTGCTCACCACGCACCGCAGCAGCGCGGCGCCGGCGGAGTCTCCGAAGGCCCCGTCTACCACGGGGAGGGCCGTCTGGCAGTCGGGGCACCAGGGCGCCGTGAAGAGAACGAAGAGCCGCGTGGCCGGCGACGTGCGCGAAGCGGTCCTCTACCGTTTCTCGTGTTTTTCTATCGAGGGGGCAAGGCGGAAGTGGAAGTTTGGAGGTTGAAAAGCTGGAAGGTGGGAATGAAGCTATCAGCTGTCCCCTATCAAAACCGCAAAGGGTTGGACTGCTCTGCATACTCATGTTGCCTTGTTTGGGACCAATTTGGTGGACCTTCAAAAGGAAGTCCATGTCCGAGGAGCCTCCGCACATGCGCCAAGGTCGCGTCCAGGGAAGCGGCGCTGCAGCTGTGGTGCAGCGGCGGCACAGGGTCGAAGACCCCGGTGCTCAGATACCGATCTCCTGGAAAAACTCACATCACTGAGGTTGTTGTCATAGGTGTCCTTTTGGAAACATAGATGGCCCCGGTAATTGGACCAAATCTTATATAAAGCAGTGCCTTCTATTCTTGACCACACTAACCCAAAAAGAACACCTATGGTTGTTGTTGTTGTTGTTGTTTGGGTTGGCGGGTGCTGGTTTCTTCGAATGTCGCATTTCGGAAACTCGCCTGAGTCATAATCAAAACCCGGTAATAAAATGGCTGCAATCCCAGAGCCATGAAAAGAAGAAGAAGGCCGCAACTATTTGTGGTTGGGATTGTCCCTTTCTAACCTTTATCCACCCGGGATTTGATTGTGACTCACCTTAGACCCGAACTCAAGGAACACTAAGAAAACCTGGAGAAAGTCCGAACAATGAAGGAAACCCAGTCCCGACGCCTACCCCGACTAAAACCCGCCCCAACCCTGAGCGCCGTGGAAGCAAGTGAGGAACCCACTTGCTTCTCCCGTTAATCCCCTCGGGCCAACCACCAGAAAAACCCATAGACCCGTAGGAAACAACTGAAACCATCACAAAAAGAAGAACTAAGAAGGAGGGCGTTGAAGAATCTTTGCTTGCAATCCACAAACAGTGGCAACATTTGGTTTGATTCCTGCGTACCACTAGCAGGTTGTCAATGCAAATCAAGTCCATCCAATATATTGTGTCCCGCAGTGGAACTTAGCTGGATGCTCCGTTCTATTTGCAGGTGGGTTGTTTACTTTACCATACTGTGGATGCGGAAAAAATCGACAAACTGTGGTTTCAACCGTGGCTTCATTTCGTGTGAAGTGAATTTGGAGTCCATTCCCAGAAGCTCCGCCACTCGAGAGGGAGCTTCCGGCTGTTCTGGAGTGTTGTGGATGGACGAAATCCATTTCGCACCAGTTTGAAACCATGGTTGAAACCGTTGTTTGTTGATATTTACAGGAGAGTCAGCATCCCAGGGCTTCTTAGGTGCGAAATGGATTTCGGCCATCCACAGTGAATCCACAGGGACACCAAACCATCCCGCCCCTCCCCGCGCGCGCCTCGGTCGCAAACGATGCACACCACCACGCGGCCGGGCGCTTCCTGCGCGATCTTCAGCGCCGCGCTCACCGCGCCGCCGCTGCTCATGCCTCGCTCCAAGAGCAGCGGAGAATTCCACCGTTGTTGTTTTCTTTTTGAGGGGTTTTCCCGGGTAGGCTGCAAAATAGACTCTAAGTGTCCACAGCAACCCACCCCCGGGTCCCTTCACTTTTGGGGTTCGCCCTCACCTTTTGAGGAGAGGGCACCTTTTTGCAGTCGTTGAATGTAAAGAGAAAGCTGGGTGTCTGTGCCCCAATCCCCGAATCAAGACACCAACCCAAATTTTCACGCGGCAAGCAAATCGATTGGAAATGGACCCCTTGCAAATCATCAGGAATGTCAACTAGACACTTTTGAGGGCGTGCAAGCAAAAATACAGAGGGCACTTACTTCAGAGCCCTCGCCAATCGAATGCCCATGGTCAGTGGGAGTCAAGGCGTCTGCATAGAACCAAATTGCGAGAAGGTTGTAGGTGCAAAGCTAAACCGAAAGATTGCCAGGCGGTCTGGTAACTCCAAGTGTGAACAATACGTTAATCAGATCGTATCATTGGGCTTGATGTACATGTCGAGAGCAGGCGGGAATCGTTGTATTCTTCCTCTCATTCTGAAGGAGGTTGGTGGAGGGACGCCTTGAAGCTCTTGAACATCCATCAGGTGTCTACCCGAGAGCAGCAAATGGCCGGGGGTTGCCGCACCGATGTGCTGACGGACTGCCCCGAAAGACTATCCAGGGGGGTGCGTTCAAGGTGCTTAAACAGAACCAAAGGCAAACCACACCAGTTCCATGTTCTTCCCTTTAAGTCGGACTAGTGGATTTTTCAAGCCCGGAAACCCGAAAGGACGCCCCCAAATCCGCGTGCGAATGTCATCCCGCACGTTGCCCCCTGGAGTCACACGAGAAACCCTGTGGGCCCACGACACAGCGCCTGCGAAGATGCCCTCCTGCATGGCCAGCTGCCGCGCAGTCTCATCCGCCTCCTCCTACAACAAGCCAAAAGCAAAAGGCGTTGCTCCAATTCGAGTAGTCCAAAGGGGAAAGATTGGAAAATCCCCTCCGCAAAAAACGCCAACAAAGGGAGAAGTGAGAAGAAGAAAAACTCTGCAACTTAGAACCATCAATGGAGTTCCAGTCGAAACCTGCTCTCCAAATTTCATTCATGGAGTGGGGATATGGAACAACAGCTTCCGTACTTCCAAGGAAGCCGACCGGCTCGCTGCGCTTGCTGATGGATGCCTAAGTGTTTGAGTGGGAGGTGTGTGCGGCTGGTTGAAAGTGGGTGTTGGGTGGAACAGGGCTGGTCTGAGGTCTAAGGTTTGCTCAGGGTCGGTCACCAAACCTCCACATCGGCGAGGCGACTGCTCTGCCAGGGTGCAAACGATACGGCCGGGCACGTTCCCTCAGGTGCCATCTAACAACCTGGGACATCCGCACAAATCCCAGACTGAGATGATGGGCAAACAAAAACCCAGCCATTTGGAGATATCATTGTGCGCGTGTTTCCCAGGAATGCTTCAAGGCTCAACTGGCCTTCCAAGCCCTCCGAGCCTGGGAGATGTCAATGACCCGGTCCAGCCGTGACTCCTCGAAGATGCTTGGGAGGTACTCCTGTGCCAGGCCGAAAAACGAAAGGTAACCAAAAACCCCCCAAAAGCAGTCTGCAGCAAAACGTCAAATACCCTACAAATATTATGGGGTTGGCGAACTACTTGCCGGCTTTCTATAGATAGTTTTTGCTTCTCTGGAAGGTCCCGATTCATTTGTGGGCGCTGAAAAGAAGATACCCGCAGTCGCCTTTGAAAGCCCTTGAACCCAAGTTGCTGATTTCTCCCAACAAAAAAGGAGCTGAATCGGGACACAAAACAGTACGGGAATCCAAACAAGTTGGCCACCTAATCTGGGAAATCCAAGGAGAGCAACATGAGCCGCGGTTGTCTTAAGCTTAGATGGAGTGCGGGACGCCCGCGAGACATGGCTGGATAATTGTGCATAGTGCCAACCAATTGCAGATGCAAACCCCGCTTTTTTTGCCATCTTTGGAACCAACCTCGATTGCTGTTTCATTGTTTTGGCGGCAATCGCCACAGAAAAGGCCGCTTTGTCCCTGAGCCTCACAAAAAAAACCGCCGCTCGGTACCGCTCCTTGGGCCACCGCCGGATGCCCGGGATCTGGGCCCCTGCTGCTGGCTGGAGGCCGATGATCTGCACCTCAAGCGCTTGGGCGATCGGCCATTCGGGCGATCGGCCTGGGTGTCCTTTTAGGTTGGAAATCGAGGGGTTTCCCCGGATGATTTTTTTTAGCACCGGGTAAACCAGGAATCGAAACCCGTGGAGTCTTCGAGGAAAACAACCGAAAAGGACACCTATTGTTTTTTTTGGTGCCTGGTGCCTCACGGCTCGCCCAAGTTTATCACAGGCAATGCTTTCCCAGTTGGAACCTTCGAGTTTAGGTGCCACCTCAGCCTTGCAAAGAGATTGGCCCCAGAAGGCGATGGTCCAACAACCACTACGATGCCAACCAGCAAACGGCATGTTGCAAGTGATCGCCAGAGTTGCGGTCCTGGCTTTCAAGGGAAATCTTGGAAATCCACCCAGCCCAATTGACAACCCTTGCAGAAAAAAAAACGAAACCCAACACCAAAAACAAAACATCTCAAAAAAGAAAAAAGAGGCTTCCAAAACCACCACCACCACCACCAACCCCAAGAACAAGAGCAAGCAACGCATTCAGCGTGCTGGCAGCACATGGCCAAACGTGGCATGACTCAAACCGCATATCCAGAACTGTACATACGAGCATGCACATCACAAATGGGTAGAAGCCTACACAAGATCTCTGATCTCTATGCAGGTACTACGCCGGCACTCTTCGTGCACGCTCTCTAAGCAAGGTCGTCCGTGGAGCGGATATGTTTAACAGGTACTCATGAGGTCCCAACAGGGCTGTCTGTACAAGTGGAAGGATCTCTTCTACAAGATCTGCATGCAAGAGCTCTCTACAAAGTCCCTACATGTAGGTCTTATACAAGACTTACTCCTAAAAGATCCCGCGCAGCTCTTAGGGATCTGCACGAGATCCTCTTAAGAAGATCTTTGCTGTATACTATAAGATGTTGTTGCAGGATCTTGAAAGATCTCTGCCCTCATCGTTTACTCGGCTCTTCGAATCATTCCTGCGCCAAAGCCATCAAAGACTTCGCTTCCGATGCTCCAAATTCGTTCCCAGAGGCAGCGAGAGCGATTGAACACAGCTAAAGTCCAGAGAGGGTTACAAACCAAAACCACCAAACTACCAAAAACCCCGAACAAACCAACAAAAAACCACCAAACCACCAAAAACCACCAAACCACCAGAAACCACCAAACAAACAAAAACCACCAAACCACAAAAAAACACCAAACAAACCACCAAAAAACGCCAAACAAACCACCAAAAACCACCAAACAAACCACCAGAAACCACCAAACCACCAGAAACCGCCAAAAACCACCAAAAACCACCAAACAAACAAACACCACCAAACAAACCACCAGACACCACCAAAAACCACCAAGCAAACAAAAACCACCAAACAAACAAAAACCACCAAACAAACCACCAAAAACCATCAAACAAATAAAAACCAACAAACAAACCAACAAAAACCACCAAACCACCAGAAACCACCAAACAAACCACCAAAAACCACCAAACAAACAAACAAACAAAACCCACCAAACAAACAAACAAAAACCCCCAAACAAACCACCAAAAACCACCAAACAAACCACCAAAAACCACTAAACAAACCACCAGACACCACCAAACAAACCACCAAAAACCACCAAACAAACCACCAAACAAACCACCAAAAACCACCAAACAAACCACCAAAAACCACCAAACAAACCACCAAAAACCACCAAACAAACAAACAAACACCACCAAACAAACAAACACAAACCACCAAACAAACCACCAAAAACCACCAAACAAACCACCAAAAACCACTAAACAAACCACCAAAAACCACCAAACAAACCACCAAAAACCACCAAACAAGCCACCAAAAACCACCAAACAAACCACCAAACAAACCACCAAAAACCACCAAACAATCCACCAAAAACCACCAAACAAACCACCAAAAACCACCAAACAAACCACCAAAAACCACCAAACAAACCACCAAAAACCACCAAACAAACCGCCAAAAACCACCAAACAAACCACCAAAAACCACCAAACAAACCACCAAAAACCACCAAACAAACCACCAAAAACCACCAAACAAACAAACAAAAACCACCAAACAAACAAAAACGGAACAACCCCAACGAACGAACCCGCCGGCCTCGGGCTTGGCCTCCTTGAAGTACCTGGAGGTGCCCATGGCGGTGCCCGTGGTGCCCATGGAGCTCACGAAGTGGGTGATCCTCCTCAGGCCGACTCCGGGGTACCCCCCCTTAGCCTTGGGTTTTAAGGCGTTTTGCTTGGTTTGCTTTTTTTCTTGATGTGTGTTGTTGGCTCGGTTGTTGGTGTTGGTGTAATTGTTGTTGCTTGTTTCTTGTTGTTTTTTGTTGTTGTTTGTTTTGGGGGTTTAAGCTTTTTGGGTGTGTTTTTCTCTTGGGCCGTGAGCGGAAAAGACGTCCTTTACATGTTGTAGCTCGGGGAGTTCGCTGGGAAAACGAATCAAGGTCTTTGCGACATCCAAAGCTACCCGAGCTGATTGGTGGGCCCAGCAGGGAATGAGGGAATGACCCTGCAAACCATCCCTTGTTGTAAGGGGACCCCCTCTTCTGGGTTCATTCACACATTCCCCTACTTATCGCACCAGCAAGTTAAAGGGAAATCAGCCCCCTAGAAGCTGTATCGAACATGTGCTTGGGGCCCAGCGACTCGATTCGCCGGAGGTGGATTAGGCAGTGGCGCTCATGTTTTGTTGCAGGGTTTGTGCCTGCGGGTCAAAGAAAAGTCAAAGGGAAATCTGTTGAGGAGACCTCAAAATGTGGGCTTCGGTTTCCTCTTGGTTTCCCAACACCTTTTCATGTCGAAAGGGGGCCAACTCAAGACACATTTCTTGCCACGACTTCAACCCGGTGGCTCTTCGATTTTCCCTGGCTTTCGGGCATCGATCACAAAAGGGTGGGGGGGGGGGGGGCATGGCCAGTACCTGGAGGTGTCTCGGATGTTCAATGTGTCTGTTGCCTCCTTCCGTGTCCAAAACTGTCCAAAACAAGCCTTGCTGGGAATATTGTCTTGCCGTCCCTGCGGGGAAAACATCTCTCTACTATCCCACCTGCGCAGTCCTGCCAAAAAGGCAAGGCAAATCAACAAGCAAGACTGACAAGCTCCAAAGATTCCGAATGACTCAACCCCCGTGCCCCGGGATCCCCATTTCAGCTTAACCCTTGCGCCCTTCTCTTTGAAGGATGCTTCAGCGCGTTTTGGTCTAGAAAAGGATTTTGCGGAAAGGAGTTCTGCACGGGGGGTTATCTCCAAATACAAGATGTGTTTAAAGGGAGACCAACCTCAAACCAGCGCCATCTCATCTGTTTAGCTTCTTTTTTGCGGGAAAGTTCCCAACGGTGACACCTGCACACACCGACTGTTTGGTCTCCTTCCGCAAAAAGCCTCAGTCTCGTATCACTCTGCCAGGTATTTCCATGGTCTAAGTAAGTTCCTGAGCTGACTTGTTGGCAGGTGGCTTTCAAAGCAAACCCTACGGGCTCTGAAGCCGAAAGGGACTGTGAGGTTCCTTGTCTGGACGCGCGAAGGAAAGGTGGAAAGGAATGTCTGGGATGAAAACTGACAGGTTGCAAAGCTGGAACCTCAAGCGTTCAGATATCTCCGGCATTCAGGTTCTACATCTTGCAATGGCTTTTGACCCCAGTCACCCGATATTGAAGGTTGCCCAAAGGATCAAGCAATCCCCCCTTAGAACACCCCGCGTTTGTCAGGGCAGCCCTTTGCAGGGTTGACTAAGCCGCCAGACCCCCGAAAAGAGCTCCGAGCTTCCCCTGCGTCTGCCTCAAGAGCTCCGGGCCGGTGGTCTCGTAGTGTGCCTCCCGAACAGAGAAAGCCAGGGAACCGCCAAGTCACCTGGATGCATTGTAGTTCGAAAGCGGAGAAACCCCAGGTCCGCCGTCGGTTGTGATTGCAACACCGCGCAGAAACCGTTACGCCAGCGTAGGCCTCAGCTTGCAAAAAAAAACGGCGAATGATTGCACGCCAGCACCTCTAACAGCACTCCCAGGGGAGCGCTCGTAGCCCGTCACCAGCACCTCAAACAGCTCCCCAAACAGCACAACCTACCAGCATCTGCATCAGCAACCAAACTGCATGCCCCCTAGCATCCAAATCATCTTTTCCCTCTTTGTTGGAAGTTAGAACCCCTATAGCTTTCAGCTACCTCAAAAAGAAAACAGCCTTGGGAGCTGGGTTTGTCTCCCAATGAGGGAACCTCAAAACATATCACAAGTCCCCATTGCTTTCCATCTAAGGCTGATGTGATGGGCTTGTATACCGGAGAAGCCCCACCATTGGCTTACCATTCGCAAGTGCTCGAGTATGGATGGAAGATACGTTGCAAGTACTGTCGAGAAACACCTCCCAAGTGGACCATAGACTCCCGGACATGTCGAGCGAACTTCACATTCCTCTTGGAGCCGTCCACACCCGCCACCTGCGGATTGTCCGGGTTGGCAAACTGGTCCAGCACAATGCCCTCGCCCCGGGCTTGCATGGCCTCCCGGCTCGCTCCAGTCAAACCTACGCCTGTTCTACCATCGCTGGCTTTTTGCCACCTCTATTTTAACATGAACATACAGTATAATGCTAAAAATGTTCGCAACGCCGGCGAAATGATCCAACATCAAAACCATCGGGGACATCCAACCTGTCCGCATGCGAGACCCTTCAGGCAATTGTTGCCCCCTGAAGTGCCCCAACTCGGAGAAACACCGACCCACCCAGGCTTCTGCGGTGCACTCGAAAGCGAAGCCGCTCAATTTGCGGTCTAGTCGGAGCGAGGCAGCTCTTTGGCTTGCTGTGTCAACCTGCAATTGTCAACCCAAGGTTCACCGTGCCCCAATTTCACCGGCACCTCAGCCGATATCTTTTGCAGAGTCAAAATATGCCATGACGCGTGTTAGAAAAGTCGGCGCACGACACCGCCTAAGAAACCCTGGATTGATTCGACTCCCTTGTAAATACCAAGCAAACGTTCTGGTTCCTGGTTTCATTTTGTGCCAGAAGCGGATGTCGCAACCATCCAGCAGGTCGCCGGCTCGCATGGCCGTCGCGCCTGCGCAAGGTCCCTGGCTTCCTCCATGGCGCCCTGGGACACCAAAATCAGCTCCGCCCCGTAGACCGCCATCGAGGCCCGCCTCAGGCGGAACGGTCGAACGGTCCGTCGCGCCTTCGCAGATCTCCGGGCGGAAAAGCGGGAAAGAAAACCCGCGGAGCGCTGGGAGTTGCTGGAAATTGGGGGCCAAATTGCTCCTGCCGGCGTATCAAGAAAATGGTGCTGCCTTTCGGTGCGCAAGGCTGGTTCAACCCGTTACAACTGAACTTGATCGAAACCAGCCTGAGGGAAGGGATGGCAGGCAAACGCGGGCGAGCAGGTTGGCTTGGCCCAAGAAGGCAATAGAGCAGGAGGAAAAGGAGCAGGAGGAGGAGGAGGGCGCAAACCGGAGACAAGTCAAACAGTGGCAAGAAGCCAGCTGCCCCTTGTAAACTTGTTGCACCTTCAGATCTTCTCCTCTTGCAAGAGTTGCCAATCCTTTGCTTCCTTCCGGCCAACAACCTCAAAATGTCCGCCCCCATTTCGCCCCCCCTTTCGCATCAGTCTTCGACATCGGCCTTTCGAGGCTCATGTTCTCGGGCATGATCAGCTTCCTGAGGTGCTTTACCAAAGGATGGCTCTCGTGATTTCCCAGTTTCCCAAGTGGAAGCCTGGGAATGCCCAAGTTGCAAGCGGGGACGGAAATCACAAGGCAAGCGGCTCCCCGCAACCTCTGATCACCTCGTGACTAGATACGAATGGAAAACTCTCCAATCGGGGTGGTTCGGAAAGGAGGTTGGCGCATCCGACTCTCCATAACCCTCTGAAATGAGGATACCCTGTCCACAACCAGATCCTATTGAACCCCCCTGCAAGGATCAAGGCGTCCAACCCTCAGAGATGTCGCTGAGCTTTGGCCCAGTTTCAGCTTGTAGCCCTTGATCGCGCTGATCGCAGCCAGCGCGATGCCCGTGTTCCCCGAAGTGGCCTCGATCCTTGCCGAAAATAGGTAGAGTTTTGGGTTTCTTCGGGTGAGAACTCCTGAAGAATCACTTGGTTTCTGGCTGGCTCCAGCGACCTCTACGAACCGTTCGGCTTCAAATGAAGATTGGGCTTCGGGTGGCTTCTCTCTACGGCGCCGGCTTGGCTCTCGTTGGTCCGGGATTGGTCGTGTACCGCTTGAAGGTGTGGGGCCCTTCATCTAAAGTCCGATCTTCCGTGCCAGCGGCCAGCTCTGGATTCAAGGATATGGGAGCTGGGATTGTAGGGATCCGGGTTCTATCGAGATCCACATGTTTTCTTTTTCTTTTTACAATTTGTTTCAATATGTATATATATACATATGTGTGTTCTTCTTTGTTTTTATTTGTTTGGTTTTAAAAAAATGGAAGGGCGTATTGAGATGATGTTTTCCCCTTCCAAACAATCCAAAAAGCAGAACCCATTTCACCCAATCTCGTGTCCATCACCCCCCCCCTAAAAAATGGAGAAAAGGGGGGGCCTGAGGGGAAGAGGGAGGAGTGTTGGGGTTATTGGGTCAAATGTTGTTATCCAACGTTTTAACATCCTTGTTTGATTTCATCCCATATTTTGTTGTAGGGTGTTAGGGGTGGATTTTCTGGGGGCCGACATTTTTTTCATTTGAAAGAGTTAGCCCTTTTAGTAGTTATTTTGTTCTGGGGTGTTGGTGGTTCATTTGTTTATTCCTATTCTTGTTCAAAGTCACTTGTTGTTTCCATGTAATCTCTCACAGTATCGTTATTGTTTTCTTGACCTTTCACTCTTAGTTGGTGCTTACTTGTTTGTTGGTGTTTTTTCATTTTGTATTTTCCTACCATACATTTACATAAAGGACATTCTACTTTCAATTGGTTATAGTCTTTCTGTTTTTCATTTATGTCTTCTTGGTTTTTTCTCTATATTCTTTTGATGTTTGCTTTATTTCGTCTTTATGCTTTTCACGATAAATCTTGTTCTTTTCCAGTATAGTGTCTTTGTTATTCTCTCTATATGTCTTTTTCTTCTCTACAATCTGCTCTTTGTTGTTTTCGTAATACTCCTTTGACTTTTGCTGTATTTGTTCTTTGTGTGCTTCTCTATACCGCCGTTTGCTCTCCAAGCATACATTACATTGTTGTCTTCCTTCGTTGAACTTTTCTAACAATTGAAAGACTTTACATTTGGAACATTGCTTTTTGTCTGTCATTGGTCTCTATATGTTTAAGGGGTTATTTATTTAGATAAGTTTAAGGGGTTTTATAGGTTAAAAGTTCAGTATAATTATAACATATAAGATTTTACATGTTATTATTATATTATGATTATAATTTCAGTTCAGGATAATAATCTAATTGGTTTGTCTTACTTCTTTCATACATCATTTTAAAAATAATATTAACATCTCTCACTGTATTCTGAACATTAAACTTTTTACTTTCAATAAATAATTTGATATTTTCTTTAACATCTTCTCCTTTCTCTTGACTATAACCCAACATCCATAATATATCGTAAATCGTGTCATATTTTCTTACTGATTTTAAGAAACTGTTTAACACAATCGTAAGGTGGTATTTTATTTACAGTTAGAAATATTAAAATATCATCTTCTACATTTCTATTATGTATTCTTTTTATTCCCAACAGACATTTGATTAAAAATTGATTATCTCTCCAAGTTTTACAATTTTTACATATGTCTTCTTCACCATCCATTGAATAATTAATAATATTATTCACTATTTCATTAGGTAAACTCAATTTATACAATTCCATATTTTCATTTTTGAAGTGACAACAATCATAGCATTTTTTATCGATATAATTATTGATTCCATCACCGTTCATTTTTCTCTTAATATATAAGGTAATATTTCTTTAAGTAGTTTTGGCTAGGGGGTTGCTGGTCGGCTGGTCTGGGTTTCAGGTTTAATTTAAATGTCTTAACCTTCTTGTTAGATTATAAAACAATGTTTAATCATATTAGAACTAAATAATATGAATAAACAGAATTGCTTCTATCCAAATTGAATTTCAACAGCAATATGATTAGAATAACTCGTCAACCATTTTTTACAACAATATCATTGAGCCACTTGCACTTTCCGAGGGTTCAGAAAGCCCCGTCCCACTTTCCAAAGGGTTGGAAAGCCCACCCCAAAACTGAGCAAATCACCACCTAAATTAGGGTTTCCAAAGGGTCGGAAAGTGTTGTCAAAGAAAGCCCTTTCCCAGTTTCCAAAGGTTCGGAAACCCACCCACTCCTACACGCTCTGAGGCTGAGAAGTCATCTGCTGATGTCTACTAGGTTCTGGGATGGTGTAGGGCTCGTATGCTATAATCCACATCATAGTATTTCAAGCCACTCATGAAGGGTTGTTCCTTTAATAATCCTGTTTGAGGATTTTCTATTATCCAGTATTTCGGTTTGAAATAATGTAAAATTTCAAGAGTTTTCAAAACAATACTATTAGCAGAATCTATCTTTCTAACCCCAGTGGTTTTAGCCCTGCTGTATTCGGTGCATGGAGGGGATGCCCAAATCACATCAAACTCACCCACATCAAACTCTTTATAATCCCAACTCAAAACATCAGCATTGACATTTGCATTTTTCAAATCAAGGGAAATGACACTAAAACCCAAATCCCGAGCAACCCGACCAACCGAGCCTGTCCCTAAGAATAATTCTAATAATTTCATATTATTAGAACTATGTAGATAATTATTTTATGGAATAATGCCCATATGGTAATGAAGTAAAGGCATCTAAGTAATATCTTTTATTTTCAAAATTACTCAGAGATTGCTTAACTTGAGACATTGAGAATAACTGATGGTTGCGACTACGAATAAAATTATATGTTATTTCATGCTTTTTGTTTTGAAATAATGCTTCGTGATAGTTCTGATATGACAGTTCTTTTTTCACCTTGTGTTTTACTACACCTTTTGACTTTTTATGTTCATCATCCTCACCGTGTATTGTAAAAGCATATGACTTTGGTTTGAGAGCTATGAATTTGGTAATTATCTTTGAAGAGCATTCGTCCTTAAACATTCCTAAGACCTTTTTATTAGTTTTGTCAAAGCATGGATGTTCAGGTGGATAGTCGCTAAAATCCAGGTGTTGCTTTATATCATTGAAATCCTTATAGACATCATCAGTCATTGTTTGAATTACATAACTGTCAGTATCGGTATAAACCAGTTTTATGTTTTCATTCTACTTCTTTTTCAATACATCATAGTAAAACTGATACATATGTAATTTACTTAAATCTAAAATAGTCATTCCTAAAAAGATTGGTTTATCCAGTTTCAGTTTTGCTTTAGTTTTTCAACTCCTACCAGATTTTCATTTATAATAAATCTGTTTTTGAATGTTGGATTATTCACACATTTCTCATATCTAACTTCATTATCCACCAGTTCAAAGTCCATATGGTTTCGCTTGTCTTCCATAGCTTTACCATATACAGAATTATTCATCAGCTTATAGAGTTCTTTCTCAAAATCGCTTTTGGCTTCTTTCCTTTTACCAGTGTTGAAATCAATCCACGGTTTCAACCAAGCCCTCTGTTGAAACTTTATTATCCTATGGACTTTACCCATTTTCATTCCCATTTTCAAATAATACTGTAAAGTCTTAATATGAGCCACATATTTTTCTTTATCCTTTAGATTTAATATTAGCTTACTTGTTTTCTCGTCCTTGGGACTTTTACCATCATAATATATTTTGAAGACTTGCTTTTGATAATCGGAAAGCATATTCACATTTACATTCATTATTTCAGGCGCTAGTGGATAGTCAGAGTGGAAGTCGTGCAATGTTTCGGGATATTCCAAATCAACTTCCATAATATAACCGAACTCATCGTTTTCATTCCATGTTTCAACACTGGGCGTTTTCTTTGTCCACTTGATAATTTTTAGCGGTAACTTCTGGGACATTGCTAAACCATACAAGTTATTAGCATCTAAGTAACTAATATAATTTGATGGCTTGTTCTCATCATATGCTTCCCCATATACTTATTATTTGCCACCGCTAATTTATGACTAACCTGACACATACCACCTCTCATTCCTTTTTCAACCATCTCAAACATTTCTTGGTCATGCAATTGTTCTATTTCAATGCCAGTTTTTCGAAGCATCGCGTCCCATGCGAAATTTGGCAACGTATAATAATGAGCGGGGTCTAAACCGTAGTATTCCATACACAAGTCTCTAAAGTTTTCAAATACATCGGTCAGTAGTAAAACATCAGTTCTTAAATACAAGTCGTGATACTGCCCGAGTGTTCTAATCCCGAAGTGCTTCCATACTTTCAGTGCCCTTTCATAATCTTTATCGCTTACATGTTCTTCACTCAATTTACTGTAAAACGCTTCTTTCGGTGGTAAAGCCCTTTCCTTAAATCTTTCAAAATCATCAAAGTAGTCATAGGGATAAATACCCTTATCAGTCAATAAATCCAAATCTTCATCGGTTTTAACATACGGGTTTCTAACGCTGTATCTGAAATTGTTCTTCCAGTTCTCACGCTTTTTATCATCCTCATATTTACTCAACTTCACCAACTTATCCAACGAAGACGATAAGAAACTGAAACTGTCCTTGAAACAAAGATTTTTAAAACCAAAGGTTATAAACTTTTCGCTGTTCTGAGCGATACATTCGATTTTAGAATTTTTGTTCAGTTCGTGAGCTTTGTTGATGATTAAGTGGGCATCATAGTTTTTAAGGTTATGAAGAAACACAGGGGTTTTATCATATCTCATACTAAAACCAAGATTACAATCATCGTGGGCGCATCCTCTGTAAGCTCCAGTAAAGTGACAATGGTCTCGAACCTTCTTGTCCTCAGGTTTAAAATCATTTCCACAGATAAAACAAGTAGTAGCATTTTCAAAATCTTCCTTGTCCTTTTCAGTCATGATTATCTCTTTTACTTCTTTCATCCTACTAATAATATCTTCTCTGAATT